TTCACACTCTTACAAAAGTATAATTATTTGTCATATAAATTCTTTAAATAACTTCCAGGTCTCGGGGAACCCCTGCAAATAATTATTATATCTACAGATCACAGAACATTATCTTAAACAGTAAGTTGAGTTATAAGAAATGTAGTGTACCTATTGTAATTAATACCTGGGGCTGCTATATATGACAAAATGATTACAGTAATGGCCAGAAAAGAAATGTAGCCATTGAAAATGGTACTGTTCCCCCCTCCCCTCCTTTTTTTTTTTTTAATAATTTTGAGAAAAATAAACATTTGAAAAAAGAAAAAGAAAAAAAATGGTATGTGAGTTCTCATTTATTTTCTTCACAACATATATAGTATAGTGAAAATATGAGAATCAGGGTACGTGTCTTAGCTTAGAAGCCTATCAAAGACCAACTGAGGGGGAGCTAACCCTGGAGTCTCCAACCTGCTGTTACTTATCTCTATAAATTTATTAGGACATGTATTATGTTGCTACACTAATTGTTCTCGCAATAGGGTACCATTTACCACCTTTACCCACATAGAATAAGTTGGGGGAACTGGGGAGATCCATCTCTGTGCTATGAGTTTACGTGCTATAAATGAGGGATAGCTGTATACTGTATGTGTCTGAAGTACAATGTTCCCCATCTAGCTAGCCCAGTACACACACACTATATTGCCAAAAGTATTGGTCGGCCTGCCTTTACACACACATGAACTTTAATGGCACTCCAGTCTTAGTCCGTAGGGTTCAATATTGAGTTGGCCCGCCCTTTGCAGCTATAACAGCTTCAACTCTTCTGGGAAGGCTGTCCACAAGGTTTAGGAGGGTGTCTATGGGAAGGTTTGATCATTCTTCCAGAAGCACATTTGTGTGAGGTCAGGCACTGATGTCGGACGAGAAGGTCTGTCTCACAGTCTCTGCTCTAATTCATCCCAAAGGTGTTCTATCGGGTTGAGGTCAGGACCAGGCCAGTCAAGTTCCTCCAGCCATTTTGGGATCTGGTTGTCATACATATTGCCATCCTCTGCGAATCGAGCTGTGAGATTTCTGGAGCTGTTCCTGGATGTTTTGTTGACTCTTTTTGGCCGGTGGAGGCTAATAAATAATGCTTTTATGGATCTTGTGAAATGTGAGTGGCCTGGTATTATTAACTATATGTTATATGGTCATTAGCAATATTACACTATATATACTTTTTTCCTTTGGCACAACTGTGGAACGGGTTTGGAAGTCTTTATCAAAAAGTGAGTGGAAGGATCATCCTAGCCCTGTATGGTGGAATGGAGGTCTGGAGGCTGTAGAGGGGGTGTAGGATCCCTAGAAGTCCTAAAAGGCCTACTATTCACCAAAATCTGGTGAGTGCAGTTTATGTTGGTCACAGCACTGGTGGATGGTGGAAGCACATATCATAGGAGGATAACTTTAATAATTGTTTGCTGAAGCACCCTGGAATTTGGGATACAGGACTTCATGTTTAATTTAAAGATTTTTTTTGGACACATTAAGTTTTTTTTGGACACTATCAATATAATTTATATTTTTTTTATATAATTTATAATTTGTATTTATTATTATGTAATTAATTGGGTTTGGGTATTGTTTTGCGCTGTTTATTTTGGTTTATATACCTGTAATCAGGCTCGGACTGGGACGAAAAATAGGCCCGGGTATTTTAGACTGAACAACACATTTTTTTTTTTTTTTTAAACCAAATTACAATTAATAAGCCAAGGGATCAGGTAATCTGCTCTTGTATATAAGAAGCCAAGGGATCAAGTGATCATCTTCTATATAAAAAGGTCCAGGGGGGTGAGTAATCAGCCCAGTCATGGGGATGATCTCTAACACAGAGTCTTTCTCAGAAGTCAGGGGAAGAAGTAGTGAAGTCCCATTGACTTACCTTGCAGATTCTCTTCTTCTCAATGCTCTCTCTCTTGAAGACATGTTCCTTGGCAGCTGAGAGCTCTATGTGCTTGGACTGTGGTAGGGAAGGCCAGGCACCCCAGAATGACAATGTCTATGTACCTGGACTCCTCCATCTCTTGCTCTGCCATCACTCCTGCTCGTCCCTGCCCAATTTCGTTCTGTAATATCGGGGGGCAGCCTTGCAGCTGTCATTGAGCAACCACGGCCAGCGCTGATTGGGGCTCGCTCAACAGTGCCTCACCTCCTGGAGTTGAAAGACAATGCGAGAAGGGAAAGGAGTGAAGCCATGGTTGGAGAAGATCTACATCAAATCAGCTTTTGTTAGGACATGTGGCCAGGCAGCCCAGGTCCACCGGGCAGATGCCTGGTGTGCTCTATGGCCAGTGCAGGTCTGCCTGTAATAATGTGTAGCCACGCTGACATTATGCTCGCACGTCACGTTTATGGTGATGCTCCACGTCATCTGCCTAGCCCAGAACCGCCACGTCCTATGTCTGAACTCCTGTGCACTCCATGCTGGTTTCTACAGGCGCTCTTCACCTGCAGCCGCTTCCTGGCATTAGCTCTGCAGTAGCTGGTCTCTTCCTTGCCAATAACTGCATGTGATGCTGAGCCGGTCTAGTGGTGACTTCTTATGGGAGATGATATGCACGATGTTTCTAATTACACATTAGTGGATATGTTTTTTTACTTGGCTTTTATTTTATTTATTATTTATTTCAGGTACTTATATAGCGCCATCAATTTATGCAGCACTTTACATATATATTGTACATTCACATCAGTCCCTAACCCTCAAGGAGCGTACAATCTAAGGTCCCTAAACTTATATTTATATATACACATGCTAGGGCCAATTTAGACAGGTGCCAATTCACCTACCAGCATATCTTTGGAGTGTGGGAGGAAACCAGAGTACCCGGAGAAAACCCACACAGGCACAGCGAGAACATGCAAACTCCAGGCAGGAGGTGCCGTGGTTGGGATTTGAACCAACGACCCTAGTACTGCCAGGTGGAAGTGCTAACCATTTAGCCACTGTGCTGCCCAAATACATCTTTTATGATGTTGGTAGAATCAGCATCAGTTAAGGATCCAAGATCAGTTTGCCAATATTTTCAGTACTTGAGAGTCAAACAGCTTAAGGATCTCTGTATTAGCAATCTACGTTTGCATACCACAAACCCCAGACCGGACTGACTGTCTGATCCTGGGTTCCATTCTCTCGGCAGCCAGGCTCAAAGTAGTTCACAGTCAATCAAATTAGACAACAGGCCATGCATGTCTTTTTACAGTTTATGTGCTGATTTAAATTGGATGGGGTGTGGGATACTTCAAAAGCAACTAGGAAAATGTAACAGAGGACAATACAACTGATCTGCTCCATCAGGGTGTAAGCACCCTCTTGAAGGTGAAGGTTAAATGCAGGAACTCCTCAACAGTGTATAATCCTGAGCAGGGGCGGACTGACCATTTGGAAACTCGGGCACTGCCCGAGGGCCCGGAGTCAGTAGGGAGCCCCATGAGATGCCCCTGGTACCTTTTTCATAGGCTTTTTTGAGTTTGGGCAAGCACACAGAGACCCCATGATCCCCTATTGCCCGGGGGCCCCATAAGTTGTCAGTCTGCCCCTGATCCTGAGTAAACTGTAATGATCTCCCACAGGTGGCAAGGGAAGTCTCTAGGATCCTTAAAAAACTCACTGTACTCACTGCACCCTGGGCACTGTAATGCCTCCTGTGGTTCCCAGCAGTCTATACACTGGGAACAAAAGGGACTCCCCTGGGAACAAAAGGAAGCTGTTCTAGGCCCCAACCTATATATACCCCTCTCAGCCCCCTGCTGGTCACTTACTCTCTTGACCAGGGATTGGCTGAGAGAGACTGAGTAAGCAGGCCAGGGTCAGATTTTCCCACCCACTATATCCCATAATTCGTTGGGATGCAGGGGAAAGTAGTTGAGCCTGCACCAGCAGAGCCCACAACAAAAGCAACTGATCACTGCTCCCCAGCAAAGGGAATTTGAAAACCAAATTTACCTAAACTCTAGCAGCCTAACTAAGAGGGTGCTACATATAGATTGCCAAAATGTGCCCCCATTTAGACACAGAAAAAAAGCAAAAGCATCCTTTTTACCCTGGTAATTTGTGAAGTGCCCACTTACACTAGTGGTCAGTGGAGAAACATCCTCTTAGATTGGGGGGGTAAAGAGAAAAGGGTCCCTCACACTGGTAATAAATTAGGCAAGAGACCAATTATCACTGATAGTCAGTAGGAAGAATCCCGCCATACAGATAGCTAAACAGATCATCGGTGTCAGTGGTTACCTATCCGATGATCAAAAATTGCTCAAGTAGCTGCTAGGAACCTCGGGAAGAATTCTAGGGTTTCACAGAACCCTGGTTGAGAAAGGCTGTTATGGATTGGTAATAAAACTTATATGCAGTTTTGCTATATTGAGCTTTCTTACTTATTATAAAGTATGTATAGCCCAATTTCTTTTATAGATTTAGATAGAAATGATTTTGGGTCAGTTTATAGTGAAAATCGTTCTCCCCGACAATGTCGACCCTTGTATCCTAGATTCCAAGAATAGGGAGTTGCACAAATTGTTTTGTTGATAATTTGCTTAATAAATGGCCCTGCTTGTTTTTCTGGATATGTGATGAAGGTGATGATACACAAAGATCTTCTATTTTAGGCAATGCTGTGTTTTGTAAAAATAAGGGAAACGCCTCTAATTTAAAAATAAAATGTGATCATCCACCATTGTTACTGTACAACATTACACATATTTTTACAAAGTAGCACTAAAATAATTTTTCACTTTTCTGTTCTTCAGCAAAAAGCCTCAATAGCAGTGCCCAGTCATTAATTTGCTAATGGAGCATTTAATAGCTCTTGTCTCACTAGCCACTTGAATAATGCATTTCGGTAATGTTTAACTTCTGCAGAATTTCTTTGTGTTATTAGCGCAGGCACAGATGTGAACTGGACATCACTTTAAAGAAGAAGGGGAAGTTAGCGGTTGTCAGGAAAATCAACCCTGGTCCTGAAGTTACCATGGCAAGCATGGCAGTGCAGTTACTGGGCTTCTTCACCTGCCTTATTGGTTTTATAGGAACTATTATTTCCACAGTGCTTCCTCACTGGTGGCGGACTGCACACGTTGGCACCAACATCATCACGGCTGTGGCATATATGAAGGGCCTTTGGATGGAATGCGTTTGGCACAGTACAGGAATTTACCAGTGCCAGGTCCACCAGTCTCAGCTGGCCCTTCCTCGAGATCTTCAGATTGCCAGAGGTATGATGGTCACGTCTTGTGTCCTTTCACTACTGGCCTGCATGGTCTCTGTCTTTGGCATGAAGTGCACTCAATGTGCCAAAGGATCATCGGCCAAGAAGATGATCTCGGTCCTTGGTGGAGTCCTCTTCCTCCTGGCTGGCTTTACGTGTCTGATTCCAGTGGCCTGGTGTACCAATGACGTTGTCAATGACTTTTACAACCCAGCTCTTCCCTATGGTATGAAGTTTGAGATTGGACAAGCTCTTTATGTTGGATTTATCTCAGCAGGCTTGACTAACATTGGAGGGATCATGTTGCTGTTTACTTCTTGCCGAAAGTCAGTTGACCAAGTGCCGTATCTCCATCCATCACATCACCTACGGAGGGCAGCTATGAGCAAGCCAGCACCAGTCCACAAAAGTAGTCATACCCCTTCCTGGTCCTCTGCCTCTCGTTATGGCTATCAAATCAATGACTTTGTTTAAGTGGCCAGGACACCCTTAGCTCCTTCAAATGAACACAGACTATAATATTATATTCTTATTAACTCAAGAGTTTATTTAAGACTATATAATGTTTACTGTAATGCTGGGATGACTAAGAGGAGAGTAAGAAGGACTTGTAAATATGTAACTTTGTAAGTTTCATGGTTTTTAATTTATTATCCAGTGATGCACATAGGACAGAATGATGTTCTTTTGGGGGCGTATGTTGATCTGCAATTTGTATGTTGGATTTAGAAAATAAAATGCCAACAAAGAAAACCCTTATTTCTCATCTTAAATTATGTGTATAATAAATATTCAACAGGTATGTATCAGAGGATACACTGCATATGCATGTATGAGATCAAAAATGGAGATTTCGTTAATTTTTACTAAGTTCTTTTTTAATTGCATTAAGCTGACACAGTTGTATTCTTATAACTGTATGAACTTACTGCATGTGATAATAGTATTCTGGACATTAATTCCTGTTTTTATTTTACATGTCTTTATATTTCAAAAGAGTAAAAAAGCAGAATAATGGTGGAGGTTATCCTCTTATTCTGCTTTCTCCTTCTATTAGCATTTTCCTTGACAGTGCATTTGCATTCAACATATCTTACTGGCTCTCAGTGCTGCCACTCTCTCTCCCAATCTGAGCTCTGCTGTACAGGGGGCTGCAAGAGGCTGATACCAGGTAGAGTTCAGGTACTACCAATTGCATTAAAAAATATATTTTTATGTTGTATTAAAGTGGTTGTAAAGGCTCATGTTTTTTTTTTACCTTCATGCATTCTGTAGATGAAAGTAAAAAACCTTCTGTGTCCAGCATCCCCCCCCCCCCCCAGTATCCCCTAATACTAACCTGAGCCCCACTGTGTTCCAGCAATGTGCACAAGATCCTCAGCTTTCAGGGAATATTCCTCCTCATTGGCTGAGACAGCAACAGGAGCCATTGGCTCCTGCTGCTGTCAATCACAGCCAGTGAGCCTATGAGGGGAGAGAGAGGGCAGGGCCAAGCCATGGCTCTGTGTCTGAATGAACACGCAGAGCAGCGGCTCAAGAGCGAGCCTGCTCGGGTGCCTCCATAGCAAGCTGTTTGTTCTTCTGAAGGAAGGAGGGGCCAGGAATGCTGGCCAGGGACCTGAGAAGAGGGCTGCTCTGTGCAAAACCATTACACAGAGCAGGTAAGTAAGACATGTTTGTTTTGTATTTTTAATTGCCTTTAACATCACTTTAAATTATAAGTGCATTTAAAACAAAGAGCACTTATTCTTCTTGCTCCCCCCTTTCCCTGACTTAACTTAGACTCCTCTCCAGATGCATGCCTACTTGAATCCATTGGCCATGGCCTCCTGTGTTTGCTTTCATCCTGTACCACAAGTCATCGGTGTCCTGGCCATGCCTGAACAGTAGCTTCCCATAGACTTCTATAAGACTGGATCCTAGGCTTCTCTGGCCTCTGGACAGGGCCCTATAGACGTCTATGGCCAGTGACTCTAAGAGGTTCCCCATCTGCTGAGGATTACAGAGAAGTCAGACTGATGAACGTTTTGATTTAAGCACAGCTGTGGAGTTTGTTAGGTAACATTAGTAGTGTACTGATTGATTTCATTTGTTGCACAGAATCAATGTTTACAGTGCATTGAAAAAGTATTCATACCCCTTGAAATTTGTTTTATTGGAATTATATGTGATAGACCAGGGGTCTCCAATTTTTTTAAGCAAAGGGCCAGTTACTGTCCTTCAGGCTTTAGACGGGGTGGACTGTGGCCAGTGGGAGTAGAAAATGCCCCGGTATCAGTGCCCCTTTATTGGTTTTAATGGGAGGAGTAGTGTCAGTGACCCATTATTGATATCAATGAGAAGAATAGTGTTCCATTTTTGTTGTCAGTAGGGGGAATGGTGCTCCATCATTGGTTTCAGTTGGTGGAATAAAGCCCCAAGGGCCAGATAAAAGCAAGCGAAGGACCACATCCGACCCCTGGGCCACAATTTGGAGACCTCTGTGATAGACCAACACAAAGGGGCACTTTGTGGCAATTTTGAAGTGGAAGGAAAATGATAAATGTTTTTCAAAATTCTGCACAAACAAATATGTGAAAAGTGTGATGTGCATTTGTATTCAGCCCTCGAAGTCAATATTTTGTAGAACCACCTTTCACTGCAATTCCAGCTGCAAGTCTTTTTGGGGATGTCTCTACCAGCTTTGTACATCTAGAGAGGGACATTTTTGCCTATTCTTCTTTGCAAAATAGCCTAAGCTCTGTCAGATTGGATGGAGAGCGTCTGTGAACAGCAATCTTCAAGTCTTGCAACAGATTCTCCATGGAATTTAGGTCTGGACTTTGACTGGGCCATTCTAACATATGAATATGCTTTGATCTAAACCATTCCATTGTAGCTCTGGCTCTTTGGCTTTCTGGCTGTTTAGGGTCGTCGTCCTGCTGGAAGGTGAACCTCCGCCCCAGTCTCAAGTCTTTTGCAACAGGTTTTCTTCTAAGATTGCACTGATTCATGCTTTGCTGGTGTTTTTTTTGCCTTCCTCTGGATCAACTGTGGGTATAGGATTATAATTTTTTTTTTTTTAATGGTTAAACTGGGGGGACTTTTGTCTTTTTTCAGTCAGACTATGTAACCTGTATTTGGCTCCATCCATCTTCCCATCAACTCTGCACAGCTTCCCCGTCCCTGCTGAAGAAAAACATCCCCACAACATGATGCTGCCACCACCATGTTTCACGGTGGGGATGGTGTGTTCAGGATGATGTGCAGTGTTAGTTTTCTGCCACACATAGCGTTTTGCTTTTAGGCCAAAAAGTTCAATTTTGGTCTCATCTGACCAGAGCACCTTCTTCCACATGTTTGCTGTGTCCTCCACATGGCTTCTCGCAAACTGCAAATGGGCCTTCTTATGGCTTTCTTTCAACATTGGCTTTCTTCTTGCCACTCTTCCATAAAGGCCAGATTTGTGGAGTGCACAACTAATAGTTGTCCTGTGGACAGATGCTTGGCTGCTTCTCTGATTAATGCTCTCCTTGCCCAGGATGTCAGTTTAGGTGGATGGCCATGTCTTGGTAGGTTTGCAGTTGTGCCATACTCTTTAAATTTTTGGATGATGGATTGAACAGTGCTCTGTGAGATGTTAAAAGCTTGGGATATTTTTTTATAACCTAACCCTGCTTTAAACTTCTCCACACCTTTATCCCTGACCTGTCTGGTGTGTTCCTTAGCCTTCATGATGCTCTTTGTTCACTAATTTTCTCTAAAAAACCTCTGAGGGCTTCACAGAACAGCTCTATTTATACTGAGATTAAATTACACACAGGTGGACTCTGTTTACTAATTAGGTGACTTCTGAAGGCAATTGGTTCAACTAGATTTTAGTTAGGGGTATCAGAGTAAGGGGGGCTGAATACACATATATTTTACATATTTATTTTTAAAAAATTTTGAAAACTATTTATAATTTTCCTTCCACTTCACAATTATATGCCACTTTGTGTTGGTCTATCACATAAAATCCCAATAAAATACATTCACGTTTTTGGTTGTAACATGACAAAATGTGGAAAATTTCAAAGGCTATAAATACTTTTTCAAGTCACTATAATATCCACTCTAAATGTGTCTGAATGAGTAATTGCAGAGTAGTTCAGTAAATCCATACAGTAAATGTGCAGAATAAATGGCTTTGAGCAAAAAAAAAATTAATTCAGCTGAAAATGTAACAATTATTTAAGCAGAAGTAACATTCATGAGCCATTTTATAAAGCTGCCCCTTCCCTTTTAGTATGTCTGTTATAAGTACCATTAACGTTGGGTAATTGATTATTGAGAAACTGGGTATAGTGCACTCACAGTTCGTAAACAGCAGCACAGAAAAGGAGTCAGAGATATTTATCTATACATCTTTGTATACGTTAAAGTAGAACTTCATCCATTTTTAAAAAAATAAAGTCAGCAGCTACAAATACTGTGTTAAATAAACCTGTTCACCAGAATAGTGAACTTAATTAAGCTGTCACCCCATAAAGTGTAAATTCACTTTTGGCATATAAGATGATAAAGGGGGCGCTTCTAACCACAATATGTATGCACCAAACAATTATACAAATCCTGCTTACAATAAAAGTGGAGAAATGTATAATACCAAAAAGCATATAAAATGTGAAATTGTCTCCAATAACAAATTACAAACAACACTATGTGTCAGACAACAGTATCAAGTGACACCGTATCCCAATAGTGCATACTGATCAAGTAAGTGAACTGTAAACATAAGGTCCAAAAAAGAGATCAAACACCAGAAGAAGAAACCAGCAGAATTCCTCTTTTCACACTTTTGTTGAGAAAAAAACATTCCCCTCTCGATTATCTATATACATTTCAAATATTGTAACAAACTTTGTTGCCGATTCCTACCTCTTGTTAGTTTGAAGAAATAGCTGTTTGTTTGTTTGTCTTTGTCCATGGGCAAAGTGAATCTGTATGAAAGTGATTTAATAATGATCAATAGGCTGCTGCACCTGCAGGGTTCTAATGAGGAAAGTGACAGGGTCTGTACCCCTTTAGACATAATTTTCCTTTGGGAGTATCTCACCAAAAATGAAATTTTTTGTTGCATGGGATGCCAAAATCTGACTTATATATTAATGCAGACTTCTGGGAAAATCAGGAAGCCAATCACACAAGCAAGAAATGATGTATCAGGGAGACGTTCTGTACATCATCTGTGTACAGAACACCCCCAGGATGCCATATTGCATTGCATTTTACAGGAAATTAAAATACTTCAGATTGAAAAGGAAAAGTAATTTTTAATAACATTCAAATACATTACGACTTGTTTCGCAATTCTATATGCTATATTATTTTATTTTTTTTTTTTATTTGCTATTTTTTTCCCCATGAAAGTGGAGTTACCCTTTAAATATTGTGACCCAGTGTAAACACAGAACACTCACCAGATGGCATGTGACCCTTTTAATAAAAAGTGG